CCTGGTGCAGGGATTACCGAGTTTTCTCTCTGGGCCTCTCTGATGGCAACTGGAGCTTTTAATGAGTGCTAACTATTTACAGAGACACCCAAATAAGTATTTGGAGATCTTCCCCCACCCCATTCATGGAGCAGATGGGATTTCTTTTAATATCTTGACTGATAAGACAGCATCTCTGACAGTGTGGCACTCTCTCAGTAACCACTGGAGTGCCAGATACTGAAGGCTAGGCTCAAGCCCTGGAGTGGGTCTTGAACCGATAATCTGTGACCCAGAGGTGAGAAAGTGTTACAATTGAGTGATAGCAGACTCAGTAATTGTACACAAGCTCAGGAACTGGGTGATTTTAGATACAGATTTGTAAGTATTACGAATGGACAATCCAGCTTGAGGCCATGTCGATCTGCTATGTTCTGAAATCCTGGCCGTTGTTTCTCCACATCACGTCTGCCATTTCCAACCTCCACAGATTTCCTTGTGAGCTTTTGTCAGGTTTTATAATATAAGTTCCCTTAGTGATGCCCGGTCTATTTCAATCCTTTCCCATCCTGTGATTTTCTCGTGTAATCTCTTTAACCTGCAGTACGCTATGTCTTACGGCTATTTCATCTCTATAAATTGTGACCACTTCATTTAATGGGATGTGTAAGTGCTCGGTGTGCCTTTGATTATTGCATGTAAGACTCATGAACTGTTCATTCACTTTCCCAGTTTATGGCTCATACAATTTCACACGCCTTGCTCAGTCTAGACAGGGAGGCAAGCAACCAGCTAGCTTGTAGGCTTCTGACCATCCTGCATTGAAATTAATTACCTGAACATGCTGCTTCTCTCTTTGATATGGAAACTCTTCTGTTCAACATCCTGCCAATGATGCCTCTGTGATAGATCCACACACTGCAAATACAAGCCAGCATGTTGTTTTTTCGAGCCAACTATCTCCTCAGTAACCTGGTCTCACACTGTTCTAATGTGATAATAAGACTTATTCTTGTTATACAATCCCCAAGTATATTAGGGATATATATTCCTTTATGGGATGCGGTCATCACTAGTTTAATCAGATTGTTACCCTTCTGTTAATTGCACTTGAGAAGATGGTGATGAGCCTCCTTGGGACCATAGAATTGACACAGTACAGAAGGGGCCATTCAGCCCACCTTGTCCATGCCAACCCAGATGCCCTTTCTAATCCCGCACACAACCTATAGCCCTGCAGCCTATTTTCCTGTGCCAGTCCATGGGCTGTAGGTTGATCTACAATGTTATAAGAGAGGAAATTTCCAGGATTTTGACCCAGTGACACTGAAAGAATGACGATATATTCCCAAGTCAGGATGGTGAGTGGCTTGGAGGGGAACTTGTCGCTGGTGGTGACCCACACATCTGCTGCCCTTGCCCTTCTGGGTGGTAGAGATCACAGGTTTGGAAAGTGCTGTTTCAGGACAGTGCAGTGCTGCAGTGAAACGAAGGCCCTGTTTCAATAATGTGCAGATGAATTTCTGGGCAATAGATGAAAACAGCTCCTGACAAGTTTGACCCAGGATCAGATTGTTACCAGGTTCCATCCATTTCTCAGCTTGATTGGACTGACAAGAGAAACTGAACAAAGCCTTTGCCTCCCAACCCCTACTCCAACGGAAATTGCAAATCAGATTATAGTGGCTTCATCCATCCTGACCTGTACATTTATAGTGGGCTCCCATTTCTTCATTACAGATCTGTCCACTTTACACATGAGGAGCAGGTTAATCTGGTAAAACAGCAAGGGGGTTTGGTCAGGGAGCAGAATCAGAGAGAATAAAAGCCTTAAGCCCACTCAGTCCTGGTTTCCAGCAAGTGGGGGGACAGTAAAGTTTGAGATGATTTAGTTGCTCAGATTGTCCGTAGATTTCATTCGAATTCTCTGTCAATGTGGTGTGCCTTTCCAATGATGAGGGTAACCACAGTTTCAAAAGCAAGGACAAAAACAAAGTTGTTGGAAAAGCTCAGCTGATCTGGCAGTATCTGTGGAGGTAAAAACAGAGTTAATGTTTCGGGTCCGGTGACCCTTCCTCAGAACTTGTTTCAAAGGTCCCTGAGGAAATGTTTCCTTACAACAGAAACCGATTTCCTTTTGTAGTTTCTCAGGGGCATCACTTCCTCTGTTCTTATGGTGGGAACCAATAGAGTAGCCATAAATCAGTGCCTCTCTTTCATCTCAAAGTGGTTTGAAGTTGTGGGGAAACCAAGCTCTGCTATGGCACCAGCTCCTCCCACCTTCCAGCTGCCGATTCTCTGCTGCCTCAGCTGGTAGTTCTTTCCAGGCATTATCTGGAAATGTACCTTTGATAAACTTTGTGAGATGCAGTTGTCAATGGCAGGTATTTAACATTGAAACACAGCAAATAGGAGATGGAGGGGGCCATTCGGCCCTTTGAACCTGCTCCACTCTTCAATATCATCATGGCTGATCATTCAACCCAGTAACCTGTTCCCACTTACTTCCCACACCCTTTGATCCCTTTAGCTCTAAGAAATATGTCTAACTCCTTCTCAAAAGCATTCAATGATTTGGCCCAAACATTTTCTTTGGCAGAGAATTCCACAAGCTCACTACTCTCTGGGTACAGAAATTTCTCCTCATCTCAGACCCAAATGGCCTACCCCATATCCTTAAACTGTGAGCCCCTGCTTCTGGGCTCACCAATCATTGAGAACATCCTTCCTGTGTTTACCCTGTTTAATCCCGTTAGAATTTTATAGGTTCCTGTGAGACCTCTCCCTCATTCTTTCAAACTCCGGAATAAAGTCATAACCGATCCAATCTCTCTTCATAGGTCAGTCCTGCCATCCCAGGAATCAGTCTGGTAAACCTTCATTGTTACTCCCTCTGTAACCAGGGCATCATTACCATGGTTCTGGTGTCACGTGTAGGCCACACCCAGTTCATGGAGTAGATTTCTTTCCCTAAAGGGCATAACTGAGCCAAACAGATTTTTAAACAATAATCAATGAGGTTTAGTGGTCACCATTGCAAAAACTATTCAGATTCAGTTAACACAATTTAAATGGCAGGAGCTGCCCATGGTGGGATTTGACCCTATGACCCCTGAGTATTAACCTAGCTCAGTATGTGACAAAGCCAGTGACATTCCACTGTGCCACCAACTCCTTCTTCCTACAATGTGATAGTGCAGGGCAAAGGGTGATGCATGGGCAAATCAAATGGGATCTATGCAACTCAAGACTCATTCCACTCCAGCAGAATGAGCGGGAAAGCTGAAAATTGTGCGATGAAACTATTTTGGGGGTGATTGTCTGGATGGTGGAGCATTTAGTTAAAGCCTGGGAGAGTCCCAGCAAAAACCAGGACATCCGATTACCATAAGTATGACCAAAAACGATAATACCTTGCCATTCCCACACAAGGTATAATTATCCAGGAATCACAGCAGTAACAGAGCTTATTATACTCCCTGGAGGAAGACATAGACTGGACTTTAGAAGCTGACACAAGCCTACAGCAAATAAAGAGAACGGAAGCAGGAGACAGCTAGATTTTATAACACCACAAGTAACATCTGACTGTTTTATTCAGATTAAACTCCCAGGAGTTGAGAAGGGCTTGCATCAGCTAGATAATTAAGGGCTGAACTGATGATGAGAGGCATGTGAATTTCCTTGCATACATTAGAATGGAGATGGCTAAATTAGCGAGTGCGTCATATGAAAAGCAAGTGATTTGTTACAGCAGTGACTTATTATCATTCAGTTCAACTCAGAAACTGGCATTTTGCCTGCCCCAGGGATTATCTAATAGCAAAATTGCTGTACTCGAGCACTACAGCACACTTCCATCAGTTGTTTCTGGTTGTTCACCCTTAATTAGAAGTCTGTATTCTCAAAGTGTCAACCCTGGAAGTAAGAGGGTCCTTGAGGACATCCCGATGAAATCATCAGATTTATGTCTTTGTTGACTAATTAATATTATTTCTGTCGCTGTACACTTGTACAAAATATATTTTTTGCAGTGACAGCTGTGTTTTCATTTGAGTTGCCCACTGGAAAGAGGAGTTTCTAAGCTTATGTTAAGTTTTCAAGACGTTTCTCATAATATATCCCAAGATTGGCATTGGGACGGTCCACAAGGCGTATTGATATTTGCAAGGAACAGAGGGAAGAGGGAGTGAGGAGGAAGTTGGGTGCGGAATAGTGGTGTTCCCAGCCTGTATCTATATTTGCAGGGGATCTGTGTCAAGGACTATATCTAAATGCGTGTGCTGGGTGTCTCTGAAGTTGTATCAATATTTACAAAGTGCGCGCATGCGTGTGTGTGTGTGTGTGTGTTTGTGTTTGACCATGTATGTGAGCATGTGTGTGAGAGTGTGTGTGAGTGTACTTGTGAGAGTGTGTTTGTGTGTACGTGTATGAGTGAGAGTGTTTGCATGTGTATATGTGTGAGAGAATTTGTGAGAGAGAATGTGCCTGTGAGAGTGAGTGAGTGAATGAATGTGTGTGTGTGAGAGAGAGAGAGAAAGAGAGCATATGTGAGAGAATGTTTGAGTGTGTATGTGACTGTGAGTGAGTGAATGTTTGTGTGTGTGTGAGACAGAACATCTGTGTGAGAGAACGTGCCTGTGTTTGTGTGTGTGTGTGTGTGTGTGTGTGCGGGGTGTATTTGGTGGTGGCAATAGTAGATTGTAGACTGACATTTTTCCTTAAACATGGCCAGCATTTTCAGGTGATCATTGCCCAGAACTGTACCAACATGCATGGGCCCTTAGACTATATCAATACTTGCACAGGCTCTTCAAGAACATTCCAACATCACTTGGGAGTAGATCAGACAGCACATCCCTTTCTTTGTTACAGTTTCAGAAAATGCTAAAATGAGACAAAAAAGAGAGGCAGCTTCACTTCTGTTATGCAGACTTTACTGCAGCTGTGAAAAATTGAATGATTTTGCGAGAAATGACCACACATATGTATACAACAAATAGAAAAGATACACAACAGAGAACAATAGAACACTGGCTTTATTCGATGGGAGTGGAGGATCTCTTCATGGCAAGCACAAAGTGAGTTATAAAAGCTTTTCCCACAAGTTGAGCAACTGAGATATCCCCCACTGTTCTCCTTTCATTTATATCACATCTAGTAATATGGAGAAGGGAAAGGAAATTAGTTTCAGGACTATTAGAAATTAAAGTAAAACAATGCAAGCAGTTAAGCACTTCTATGATGTCAGGATGCTGCTGTTACAACAAAGCAGTAATTGTGATGACATGAAGGAAGTGATAAATCACAATACAATGTGACATTAGACAGCAAAGGCATTCCCTAATAAAAACAACAACTTTCTATGGTACAGTTTTTGAGTGCAAGTGAATCTAAAGGGATTTTAGCCCTGACATTATTCACTTTACTGACACTGCTGTTAATAGATATATATCTATATATCTATTTATATATATATGCATATATGTTAAAAAAAAAAGTTGCTCAGGACCATTGCAAGCAAAAAATAAAGTTAGTCTGCCTCACAAGATGGACATTGCCCTTTTGAAGGTGTGATGAAGCTTTGAGTAAATATTGAGTGAAATCATCCTCAGTCTGTGTCTTCACACTTAGACGTCCACACCCTCCCACGATCAGTCACTCATCAGATGTAGAATACACACATCCCTGACACGACTCCTGGGAGAGATGATGAATGCATGGACTACATCTTTGTCGTCACGTGGATTTGTTGGCACCCTGATTGGTATCTCCTCCTTTCCCACAAGTAGTTCTGTCCTTTGTCCTGATAGCCTCTCCTAGCCTCCTTCATTCCCAGCCAAAGTTCTGCCCTGTCATTTGATAGAAATGGTGGTTGTAAGGCCGGTAGAATTCCCGCAGTTTTTCTATCACTCCTGGGTCAATGTCGGGATGGATCCGGCCTTTCGTTTTGCCAAGGCAGTGAGGTTTGCCATTGCCCTGTGGCTTCTTCAAGCAAGGGAAACCTTTGGTCTCATTGAAGAAGAAATGTTCATCTGTTATCATTCTCTGCAGACCTAGGAAGTCCTGGACTTTTCCCAGCTCTCCGGCTGGATCACTGATCAGCTTTTCCCCACTGACAAAGTGCATCTGAGACAAGGGGAAATACTGGAGCCAGTTCTCCAAATGCTGAGCATAGATCCCAATCCAGATTGGGCTCCATGACGCGTCTATCAGGCCTGTAGTCCTGTTTTTTAAAGTGAGCGTTTCAAATCCAGGGATGCCTGGTGCTTTTGAGATGATCTGGGTGTAGTCTGAAACAGCTCGAGTCACTGGGTCCCGTACAACCACGATCAGCTTGGTGTCCTTAGACATAGCGTGAATACGTCCAGGGGCCTCTGCTGTCACAAAATACCTGGGTGTCTTCTCCATCACAATCTGACCATCAAGTGCTTTGGGCATCAGGTTCCTGCAAAAAATCACAGAAAAATTACTCGTTAAGTGCCCAGTGAGAATCTTACATATGCCTCACCAATCCCCATCCTTAACAAGTCACAAGCAAAGTGATTGCTGAAAACCCTCTGTTTGATAACAACTGTTAGAATTCTACTTGTGTACCTTCCAAACACAAGGTTGAGATACTAAAATCTTCATGAACTCAGCGAAATTAAATCAAGACTGTGTGCGCCACATTTCAACAGGAATTGAATTGAATATGGAAGGCAAAATACCAGTGGGGTGTTGTAAATCTGAACCAGAAACAGACCATGCTTGCAGTGGGTCATGTAACATCTGGAAGATAGTTACTAACACCTCAGGTAGAATAAACTTTGCATTCTGACAGGCATGGTACTTTGGTAAAACAAACAAGGGCAGGACATATACAGTTAAAAGTAAGGTCTTGGGTATGAACTTCCAGAGGAAGTGGTGGTTGTCAGTACAATTACAACATTTAAAAGACATCTGCATAAGTTCATGAATAGGAAGAGTTTGGAGGGATATTGGCCAAGCTCAGGAAAGTGGGACTAGTTTAGTTGGGATTATGGTCAGCACGGACTGGTTGGACCGATGGGTCTGTTCCTATGCTGTATGATTCTTTGACTCCAATACCATTCATGTGAAAGTCTAGCTTCGTCAATCCACAGATGTTGTTTGATCTACTGAATGTTTTCAAGGTTTGTGTTATAAAGGAAGGCTGAATAGGCTGGGACCTTTTTCACTGGAGCTTAGGAGGTTGACAGTCAACCTGATAAAGGTTTATAGAATAATGAGGGGTATAGATAGAGTTAATGGTAGTTACCATTTCCCTAAGATGGGAAATTTCAAGACTACAGGGCACACTTTTAAGGTGAGAGGAGAGAGATTTAAAAAAGACATGAGGGGCAATTTTTTTACAACGAGGGTGATTTGTGTGTGGAATGAACTTCCAAAGGATGTGGTGGATGTGGGTACAATTACAAAGTTTGAAAGACATTTGGATAGATACATGAATAGAAAAGATTTGGTGGCATATGGGCCAGGAGCAGACAGGTGGAACTAGTTTTAGTTTGGGATTATGTTCGGCATGGACTGGTTGGACCGAAGGGTCTGTTTCAGTCCTGTCTGACTCAATGACACACACTGTTTTATTTTCAGGAAAAAGAATTATTTACATGGCAGGCAGAAAACGGACACCTTGAACTGAGTCACTTGCATGCCTTTAATGTTGAATGGGGCCTAGTAATGATGAGGTTAGAATGGCATAATGTCAGCTCTGTCACATGCTTATTGAGACATTGTGTGCTTTCAGACTTGTCATTGTGTCTCCAGTAACATTAATGAAACTAGAATCTTAGGCTGAGTGTCACCTGATATGGTGCCAATTTGGAGATTACCATATTTTAGTTTGCATAACAAATACCACACAGGGTCAGGTTCTTCTTGAGTCTGACATCTGAAGTTAATTTACAAAACTGGATTATTTATGAGGCTGTAATATCATGGACTTATACATGCAGTCTGGTTCGATGCTAACTAATGCTCCTGTAAGTTACACACACATGTACTGACATTTTTTTCAAATTCATTAATGGGTTGAGGGTGTTGCTAACCAGGCAGTATTTATTGCCCAGAAGCCAGTTAAGAGTCAACCACATTGCTGTGGGTCTGGAGTCACATGTAGGCCAGACCAGGTAAGGATGGCAGTTTCCTTCCCTAAAGGACATTAGCAAACCAGATGGGTTTTCCCTGACAATTGACAATGGATTCATGGTCATCATTAGATTCTTAATTTCTGATATTTTATTGAATTTAAATTCCACTATCTGCCATGATAAAATTTGAACCTGGATCCCCAGCACATTATCTAGGTCTCTGGATTAACAGTCCAGCGATAATACCACTAGGCCATCGCCTCCCCACAAATAACAAAGAAAGCGTGACTGAAGGTGAGGTGGGTATCTTTATATCAGAATGTCACATGTGATGGTGACATGTGACTGTCTTAAAGGTACACACCTGTCTAGTCTGTAATCTATGCCATGATATAACTGCTCCTCACTTCCCATGGAGTTAATATGATACCTGGATATTTGCCCTATGGGAATCATTATGAGACTTACTCTAATAGAGGAAGGTTGGTGTCACCACCTTCTAAACATCTACGTGGTGTCAGTCATTGCTTAATATTGACATGTTTATCTCAGAATCAGAAAGCTGTTGGTTCAAGTCTCACTTTAGAGACTTAAACACATAAAACCAGGCTGACACCTGTGCAGTACTAAGGGAGTGCTGCACTGTCAGAGGTGTGGTCCGTACGATGTTAAAGAGAGGCTCTAACTGTCAATTGCAAAAGATCCTGAGACAATATTCAAAGAAAAGTGAGGAGAGTTATTCACTGTGTTCTGTCCAATATTCATCACTTGGCTGTTTTGTGGAAGCTTTCTGTGCATAATGTAGCTGCTGTATTTCCTGCAGTAGTATAGCGACTACACTTCAAAGACATTCTGTTGACTGTGAAGCTTTTCTCAATGACATCCTGAAGTTGTGAAAGGCGTGATAGAAATGAGAATTCTTCCTTTCAGCAATGTTGTCTCATCACTGGTTGCTTCATACACTGAACAATAAAGATTTATTCGCCTGTGGGGGCAGCTTGGATCATTTCTTACATACACAGTATGGTGTGAAGTAGTTCTCAATCTAATGCATTGTATGCTTAACATTAAAAGGAGATGGATTACATCAAAATGTTCCTCTAACAGTATTGCAAACTTTGCAACTATTACTGCACATTACTATTACTCGCTATTGAACAACATTCAAATTAAAACCCATTGGGATTGAAATTCTTGCGGGTGAACAATTGTAGTTCAATGTGCTCATTTCGCCACAACAACATTCCCCCAATCTCACTGGCTCATCCTAATGGAAAAATCAGCACAAGGAAAGAGCTCAATCATTAGGTGCTGCCATTCAGTAAGAGATCTAAGCGACCTAACCCATCATTCATGTACATTAGGCATCAAATGTTGGCAGAAGATTTTCAATTTTTAATGTGGTGTCCACTGACATTATGAAGATATAGTGAAAGAGGGAATGTATTTCAGTGAAGGCAAACAATTAAAAAGGAGTTTGAACAATTACACAAAACAGCAGGAGACTGCTCGGTTCTGGCTGTGCCAAAATCTGGATGTAATCTTACTCCCATTTTGAACCAGTGTCATTACATGAATGTAAATGTGTGCACTGTTTGTCTGGGAGAAAAATAGAATTGGGAAGAGGAAAATTGATAGATGGCTGTAGATAGGCGCTGAGCGAACCAAGTAAGCATTGAGATGGCCTAAGCCTTTCAGTCCGACTACGGAATTTCCGGGGTATTACATGAAGTCTGACCAGATGGGTCCCTAGAATCAGCCCTTTGAATCTCTGACTAGGGGAACTGACACGCTTTAAGAATCTTGCACAGGAATTATTCCAAGTCCTACAGTCAACTGAGGTGGGAGTAAATTTAATGAGCAGCCCTATGCACCCTGATTGTAGAAGACCAAAGATTGCCACATTCCCCCCACAGTTTCCAAAGCCTCCAAACCCACCCCCACCTCCTGCGACACGGCAGAGGATATGTTGGGCGTGGCTCAAATCATAAGCCGTTGCCCCATGTGGTGCCTATAACTTATGGTGAGCACAAGGGCCAATTTCCATTGGGCCTATCCGTTCAGGTTTGGGCTGGTAGCACAGTGCCCAGACTGGGCCCAAACTCGTTTCTATCCCCTGAACTCCAATTACAGCAGCTCCACCCACACACAACATATGGTCGGAATAAGTTAAAGAAGATACAGCCGATGTTTTTATTAACCAGATGCTCAGTGTAGTACGTCTGAGGAATATTAACCGCAACCTACAAGCAATGAAATGTTATCAATGTCAAACCAATCTCCTCCTTAAAGGGGAACAGTTTGCAAATGTCCAAGGCCTGAATCAGGTTGGTGTCAATCTTGAGCAGGAACTAAAACATCACAAACACATTTCGCTTCTTGGTTTCCTCTTAATTCTGCTTAAAGTGCCATGGCACTAGAAGTCAATTGATTCCTTGTTTGGTGAAATCCCTTCAGTTTCTTTTCCACAGTGACAAAAACCCTTAGTCTCGCCATTATTCAGCACACTGCTACCCTCCTTTGAATCCTTTCACTGCCTCAAGGATTTACTATGTGTACAAATTACGGAACAAATGAGGGGGCACTTTTTATAAGGTCACCACCTGGGCTGTTCCAACCACATAGCTAACAGATGTAAAATTACCGTCAGTTCAAAGGTCAGGACCCAATTTCACAGTCTACACCCTCTCATCCTCTGGCTTGTCTGAAACAATCCAGCAAAACCCATTGTGGGTGTCTGGCAGTTCTGAACAAAGTAACAGAGTTGCGATGGGAGAGATAGATTCAATTTCTTCCCTTTGGAAGGTTGCTTTATGGGCCACAAGACAATAGATTTTGGCAGGGAGGAAAGTGGGTAGAACAAGACTATTTACAGGGACTGAATCGGAGGAGTAAGATGGCAAATAGAGTGAGACAGACACTTCAATGATGATGAGATCCCTGGCTATCAGGAGAAAAGATGGGCAGTTAAAATATATGGGACCTGCTGAGGCGATGGTCTAATGCTATTCTCACTAGACTATTAATCCAGAAACTCAGTTCATCTTCCAGGGACCCAAGTTGAAAACCTGTCACAGCAATCATTTGACAGTAATGTCACTGGAATAGTGAGCAGAATGCCAGGCTAAAATTCTGGGGATGTGGGATCGAATCCTACCATGAAGTTACAATTCTATGTTCTGAATAATATTCAATTTTTGTCTCAGGTTTTTTTTTTGTTTGGAGTGAAAGGGGAGGTTTCATATCATTGTCTGTTCAACCTCGCACACCTTTCATTGCTGGGCTGGCCGGAAGCCCACCTTCAATCAAGCCCACTTGTTGTCAGAAGTAAAAGCAG